AAGTTGCCCAGGCAGGTCTCGAACCCGCGGGCTCAGGCAATCCACTCACCTCAGCCTCCCAAAGGTGTGGGATTACAGGCTGACCACCGAGCCCGGCTACATTTCCTCTTTTCATCGATAAATTCTTCAAACTGTTTTGCTAGCACTAGAGAATATACTTTTATTGATGAAGAAAAACTTTTTTTTTTTTGAGTCAAAGTCCTCACTCTGTTACTCAGGCTGGAGTACAGTGGGCAATCATGCCTCACTGCAGCCTTGAGCTTCTGGGCTCAAGCAATACTTCCACCTCCACCACTCAGGTAGCTGGAACTAAGGCACACACCACCACACCCAGCTAATTTTCTGATTTTTTTGAAGACATAAGGTCTCACTATGCTGCCCTGGCTGGTCTTGAATGCCTGGACTCAAGCAGTCCTCCCGCCTTGGCCTCCCAAAGTGCTGGGATTATAGGCATAAATCACTGAGTCTGACCTGAAGAAAAACTTTTAAGAAATCGTTAGAGCTAGGTGCGGTAACTCATGCCTGTAATCTCCACACTCTGGGAGGCCAAGGCGGGAGGAGTGCTTGAGTCCAGGAGTTTAAGACCAACCTGGGCAACATAGTGAGACCTCACCTCTACAAAAAATCAGAAAATTAGCTCGGTGTGGTGGTAAACACTTGTAGTCCCAGCTACTAGGGAGGCTGAGGTGGAAAGATTACCTGAAAATACACAAAATAAAAAAAAAAAAGAAAAAAACAAAAGAAAAAACAAAAGAAAGATTGCCTGAGCCCAAGTGATTGAGGCTGTGATAAACTGTGATTGTGGCTGGGCTCCGTGGCTCAGCCTGTAATCCTGTGCCTTTGGGAAGCTGAGGTGAGTGGATTGCCTGAGCCCGCGGGTTCGAGACCCGCCTGGGCAACTTGGCGAGACCTCATCTCTACAATAAATAAAAAAATCAGCCGGGCGTGGTAGCGTGCGCCTGTACTTCCAGCTACTCGGAAGGCTGAGGCAGAAGGATCGCCGGAGCCCAGCAGGTAGAGGCTGCGGTGACCGGGAGCGGCGGCCACTGCACTCCAGTCTGGGTGACAGAGTGAGACTCCAACTCAAAAAATAAATAAAATAAAATAAAATAAAATAAAAAATCTCAGCTCAGATGTTTGGACTGTATAATCTTGAGCAAATTACTCTACCTTTCCAAGTTTCAATTTGTTTAAAGGGAAAATTCCTGTTAGAGTGCCTATTGTCACAGGGTTGACGAAAATTAAACGAAGATGTAAAATGCAGCCGGTCTCTGTGGCTCAGCCTGTAATCCCGGCCTTTGGGAGGGCGAGGTGAGTGGATTGCCTGAGCTTGCGGGTTTGAGACCCGCCTGGGCAAGCGAGACCTCATCTCTACAATAAGTGGTAGCACGCTCCTGTAGTTCCAGCTACTCGGAAGGCTGAAGCGGAAGGATCGCCAGAGCCCAGCAGGTTGAGGCTGCGGTGGCTGGGAGCGGCCACTGCACTCCAGTCTGGGCAACAGAGTGAGACTCCAACTCAAAAAAAAAAAAAAAAAAGATGTAAAGTGCACACTAAACCACAGCACAAAGTTAGTGCTTTGTGGAAGGTAGTCTTCTTGGAACAAGAATGAACACGATGCTGAGAAGTGGGTTGCAAACAGACAAAGGAAGAAGAAACCAAAGGGCTCCTATTCTGTGTGGAAAGGAGAAAGCTGTGCATGCAGAAGCAGCTGGAAGAAAGCCAATTACACTATAATCAGGCTGCCATCCTGGTGAGACTGGTAGGGGAGGTTCCCTGGAAGAGAGCTGGGAGCAGCTCTGGTGATGTGTGCACATAGCTTTTCTACCCAGACAACTACAATAGTCTATCCGGTCATCCTGTCTTTCCAATCGAACCTCCACCTTCACAATAAAGTGACCTTCTAAATACATGGATTTGACATTACTCTGCTGTTTAACTTAGCAAGGCACAAAAGGCCCCTAGGCTACACGCTGCTTGCTTCTCCAGAAACAACTCCTTCACACACCACCATCTAGCTTTTCTCCGTAACTCGTCCTACTTAAATCCTTTACTCCGTAACTACCAAACTACTGGAAGCACCCGGAACCTCATCACGTTTTCCCATGCCTCTAAGCCCTGCCCCCGTTCCCCTGGCTGAATGCCCTACTTTGCTTACTTATCTAGCAAAATCTCATGCATCCTCCAAATTCCATCTTCTTTTTCCATCTAAGCAGAAGTATCATTCTCTCCTGTGCCGTGTACAGATCTTTCACTGTACACGCCTTCCATCAACAGATTCAGAGTCTCTATTACTAGTCAGCCATCATGCAAGATGTTGTGAATGTAAAAATAAATAACAGACTGTCTCTGCATCCCTCCTCCCACCTCAACTAGCCTGGAAGCTCACTGGGGACAAGGACAATCTTATTCATCTTTATATTCCCAGTACAATGCCTTGCATGTAACGGGAGCTCAGTAAATTCCTGTTGCAAAAAACAAACTAAGCACTCACCAGAATATTTGCTCCCTTACACCCTTCAGCACTTAACATACCAAACATCAACTGAGCACATGTTACTTTGCCAATGTCCCATTAGTGCCTGTGATGCAGTATAGCCTACCTCCTTCATTTGACTGGAAGCTCCCTGAAGGCAGGGGCTGTGGCCTGTCTCCTTTCCTTCCTCTAGATCTCCCCCTGGTGTTTAATACAGAGCTTGGCTCACTGGGGTTGGTCAATATGTTGACTAAGGCAGCATTCAAGAGTGAAACTGCAAACAGGCTTCCCAGTGATCTTGAAGGAGGAGGACTCTAGAGCTTTTTACCTGAGCCATGCTGATTTCTCACTTATGCAACCCAAAAGTTCAGGAGTTCCTTGATCCACCTTTCTTTAAGACACTGTTGTTTGAAGAACTGTCACCAAGTCACAGTAATGATTCCTTCACGTCCCCTCAGTCCTGTTGCCATATTGAACTTTGTCTTCCGATACAACTTAGTGTCCTCCAAATAAAAGACAGGTGTTCCAAGAATCTCTGGACTCTTGTCTGGCTCCTGCCTATCGTCTGAAGAAAAACAGAGTCTACCAGTCTTGGTTTTCCAGTTGAACTCTCTCGATGAACCTGAAACCAGAAAGGGAGAGGGAGCCGCTAAGTGCAACATCCTCAGGCCACATAAAGTGTGATGTGCCTAACTTTTTTTCTGGGCGCTTTCTGAGAAGCTCAGAAACAGGACACGAGTCAAGAAGCTTTCTTTCGAGGTCAGCAGGAGAAACTGGTCTTCCGGGCAAACAGGGGTAGCCAACAGGAGCAAACGTAACTCGGGCCTCCCACGGAGAAACTCTGCCAACAGGGCAACTGCTTGGATTTGCCATCTTAGGAATGGAAGAAGGGGGCGGAGACCCTTTGGGGCTTTTGTGCCGAGTGGGCCGGCCCGAAAAGCTCGCATTCTACGGAGGCGGCCAGAACTGGGGTGGAGGAAAGCTCGGGGCCTTCGCCGGGCGCTTGGGTGGCGGGCAGGAACCGGACAGACAGCGCCCACACGTGCGCGTTCT